AAGCCGATATTAGAATGGAAATAGACGAAGATTTGAAAAACAAGGGATGAAAACTAGTTGGAAAAAATAAAAATGTTTTTGGGGAAGAATACTCTTCTCGGACTTTTGCTGATTATGTTCTGAAACCCCAAGGATGAGTAAATCCTTTAATCGCTATTGAAGCCAAAAGAACAGGCCAAGACTTAACCGAGGCTTTGGAACAAGCCAAAAATTATGCTAGAAAAAGAAATTCTCCCATTGCTTACGCTATTATTGGTAATCCAAAAAAGAAAATAATCAAAACTTGGCACTTAAAAATTGATAAGCCTTTGTATCTCGATAAAAAAGAGGTTAATTTTTTGCTTGATTTAGAAACTGCTTTGCATTTTATCGACAAAAACGAGTACAATCCTCGAAAAATTATCGCTATCAAAGACCGGGAAAAATTAATTAAAGTTTTTTCCTTTGCTAATAATCAGTTAAGGGATGATGGATTAACCGAAGGACATGAGAGATTTAGTGAGTTTTGCAGTATTCTATTCTTAAAAATTCTTAGCGAGCAGGAAGAAAAAGAAAGAAAAGACAAACGACGTTCAGAAAGCAAAATTATCCCTCATAGACTCCACTGAACAAGTTTTCAAGATAAACAAGGGGAGGACTTATTGGACTATGTGAATAGTGCCTTAAATTGCGGTCAACATAAAAAAGATAAATTTTGCTGCTTTCAGAGTAAATACGGAGCCGATATTTTCCAGCATTTACAAATTAGAAATCCCGCTACTTTAAAAAGAATTATTGATAAATTAACTTCTTTACAGTTAACTAGTATTGATATTGATGTTAAGGGAGAAGCTTTTGAGTATTTTCTAAAAGAAGCTATTAAAGGTCAAAAAAAAGATCTTGGTCAATATTTTACTCCCCGCCATATTGTTGATTTCTTAGTCAAGTTGGCCGATCCCAAACCTCACGAAACTATTTATGATCCTTTTTTGTGGCACTGGCGGCATTCTTATCAAAGTTTTTAATTATATCGCTAAAAGAATTCCTAAAAATGATGCCAAAA